TACACTGAAGCTTTGAAAATAACTATAAATAAACTAGATATCAATCGCTGCATTTTTTTTCTTTTTCAGAAAGATGCAGTAGTAACCTTAACATTTTATTTTAAGATTTAACATTTGTAGATGGTCTAAAGCAAAAGAGTTGTAAAAATTCTGAAAATCTTTTAGAGCTCATAATTTGTTTAAAAAATATAACATATTACACATTAACGAATAAATCAGTATTTATAAAATTATTTAAAAAAAATTTATTCACGTAAGCTAAAGCTTCTGACCTTTAAATCAAAACATACTCATGGTTTTATGACATCAATTACTGCTTTATTTAATCAGAAACAGTCTAAATGTTATTTGTGTATTTTACTTTCATTTTATTAGAAGTCGGCCAACAGCGCTGCCGCTGCACGTGCTATCACTGTTTACTCTATATCATACACCGAACGCGTCATTCTGTACATGCATTCTCAGTTTAAATGCAGCGGTCCAAAACAGTGAATCTAATCACCATTCAGGCAAAACTTTGCTTAAATGAGTCACACTGCTGACGTGATCTAATCGCTAGCACACCCTGAGCACATGTGAGTTAACGCATTCCTCTTATCGGCAAGACATATCGGCATATTTTTTCATATCGGGCCGATGCCGATATTTACATTTAAAGCCATTATCGGCCGATTCTGATATCGGTCCAATAATATCGTGCATTCCTAGTTCTGTTGAATATTAAGATATTTTGAAGCATGTGGGAAACCAAACAGTTTCTGGTCCCCACTGACTTCCATAGTCAAAAAAAAGAAAGAAGTTTGGTCTTTAATCACAGACTTTTGAAAGTTTTATCTGACACGCTCATGGCATAAGATGCTAAATGCTTGTGTAATGCATGTGTAGAAAACCAATGTTTTATATTTTCCAGATTTGTCATTTTCTAGTTGTTTGAATGGTTTATGTGCAGGAAAAGGCAATATATATATATATGTACTTTGATTGTCTCAAATGTTGGCCTGAAGTCTGTTTCTTTTGAATTCGATAGGGTGGAGGCGTTTCCGTTCCCAATGTGGATGATCCCGAGGCTTTTCCAGCCCTGGCTTAAACCTCAGCTCTGCCACCGAACCTTCCTCCAGGCCCCCGCCCCTCCTCTTCGACGCTTGCATGCTTACGGATCGTTCGACCATAGAAACCAGAAAAGAGAAATACATGAGACTGTCATCCATACATACACTGAGAACTGACTTTTACCTGCGGAAAAACACAAAAAGGACTTCTTGTTACACTGAAGCAAATTATGGGTAGAGGTTTTGTATTTAGAGACATGATAGCAGGGATGTTAATACGGTATTTTTTCCCCCCCTTTTTTCCAGAGATTATGCATTCGCCATATTTTTTTATTGCTGCTTGAATGTATGCATTTTCAAGATAGAATCGAGGTGTGTTGTGAACGCTTGCGCTTCAGTCGGGACACTGCGGTGTCTGCGTGTAATCGAATACACTCAATGGCTCTACCAAAAGCAGAACGTTTCATTTTTGTTATTGTTTTTCTCCACCAAGTGAGAATACGAGACTCGTAGGGATGATTTTACTATTAACACATATACAGGAGTAATGTATATTGACTATTTGAAATGTTTTGAAAGGAAGTTCTAAGGTCAAGCTACCCTCCTGTTTTAGGATTTTTTTTCTTGACCGGTAGCAAGAAGCAAATGCGTCGTCTTGATCTTGCTTTGGTGTTTTCTGTCGTCCTCTGCAGGACCTGTGATATTAGTATGCATAGTTGTCTTTGTTCCTCAGAGAGATTATTTCCTCGTCTTGTTGAAGCACCCAGGGCTCAATGGAGATCCAGGCTGGTCCTTGTAAGTTCATCTCTTAGAAACCTTAGGACCACTTTCTGAACTGTAAACGTGGGTGAAGTGTGTGTGTGTTTGTGAGAGAGAGCGAGAACCTGTTTTTAAAAACTCCTCATCTACCATAAGTTTATTTTCCTGAGCTTAAGATGGTAAGTTTCAGCAAGTCATGCTCTTAACATGAAGTTTTATTGACTTTAGTGAGTTTTCTCTAGCTGAGGTTGTTGACATATCTTGCACTTAGATTATGGTGACGTTTGAAATCTAGCTACTAAGCACGTGGTCTATTTGCCTCAGTACCATTTGTTTATTTTTATTCCTTCTGTGATCTTTGCGGTGTTTTTATTTGTAATTAGTACTATGATGGCACTACTGCTTGCGGTTTCTGAAAAAAATGTGTAATTCAGGGTGGGACGACAGCGTGCTGCGAAAGAAAAGTTGGAACCAGCTTCTTATGTATGTGAACTAGCGCGACCTCCAAGTGTGATGGCCGATGTACTCTGTATTCATAGGAGGAGGGACAATAAAATGGAAGACGACACTAGATTTGAGTCCAGGCCTCTGGTTTGTCACGTCTCTCCTTTACCCCACTCTGTCCTTTCTATTACAAACATGTCTGCAAATAAAATGCTTTTGTTTAGTCAGTGCTTCCTATGCAATAAAAATAGGTTGGAAAACTTTGGCAACATAGAAATATAAAAATAATAATAATAAATAAAAGCCCAAAATGGCTAAACACTGATCTTTTGATGGCATTAAATATAAATTACTGGTAAAGAAATTAGCAAGAATTAAGCAAATGCACTCCTTAAAAAGTCATTGCAACTCAGGAAAAACAATGTCGGAATGAAGTTTTTGGCAGAATATGGAAGGTTTGATTCAGAGTTGTGTAGAGTGAATCATGCTAAAACGTGTTGCATGGTGATGCTCTTTAAAGAACTGGTGAAAAATACAATAATGACTGCATCTCTACCACAGCGAAGCATGGAGAGCCTTTCAGCCGCTGCTTCGCTGGGAAAACTCTGTTAATGCTTTGGAGTGAATACTGCACAATGGTTTGCTTCCAACAACTGAAAAGTTGTTTTATGAGGAGGAACGATCGGATGTTATTTTTCAACAAGAAAATGCTCCTGAACAAACTGCAAAGATAACCAAGAAGTGGCTTGAAAACGAAGAAGTCCATCAGGGTCTTGTTTGGCCTGCTCAGAGTCCAGATTTGAACCCTATAGTAGTGTATAGTTTATTTGGTCTCACAATAAACTCCAACTAACTAGGAGACATTTTTCAACTCCTTATGAATTGTTTGAAGCCATCAATATTGAGTGAAACAACACTGACTCTGTACTTCTGTAAGAAGCTGTCTGCAAGTTTACCTACACGGCTTTATCTACAGTATTTGTGCAATTCTTGCTATTTTCTTGACCAGTGATTTGTGCTTAAAATGGTAAAATGTGCACCATTAAAACACCGACAACACATCCTTCATCACCCCATCAGCTGTTCTTACAGGAATCTCTTGTTTATTGTTAATAATTGCTTTCGCAAACATATTCGTTTTTTCAATAATGTTTAAAATATTGCCTTGGTATCTTTTTACATTTTTGTCTTCTGTCTCTTTAAGTATGCAACTTATGTCAACAAGTTATTACAATATCAGTTCATTCCAATTAGACATTTATCTGACTCCAATTTATGAAGAAATGCAGTGCTGTGAAAAAGTGTTTGCCCCCCATGCGTTCTGTTTTTGTGTATTTCTCATACTAAATTGTTAAAAAAATTAAAACAAAATATACCATTTAACAAAAGCAATCTGAGTAAACACATATGCGGTTTTTAAACGATAAAGTGATTTGTTGAAGCAAAAAAGTTACTATTAGCCCCTGAAGTTTGTGCCCAAAAGAGCTCCGTTTTATTCAAATTAAATTTGCATATGCTCGTCTTTATCTAGGTTGGTTTTTGATATATTTAATAAAATAATTAAAATAGATGAATCTATGATCCTTTTTCTGAACTGTAGTTGATAACACGTTAAAGGTCATTCTTGGGAAGTTTCATGTACATAAAGCAAAAATAATGTATTACCCCATCTTTTAAGTTTTTCTGTAAAAAACTTAAAATATTTTATGACTCGTTGACTTCAATCACAAGAAACAAGAAATGTATAAAAACGTCTCATATTAAAAAAATGTTATTTGTAAAATTTAATGTTTTACCCTCCGTGATGTATATATTTTTTTATGTATCCCCCATTTTTGTTTGTGTTCTGTTTGACGTTAAGTATTTCTGTATGTTTGTTTTTGAAAGAGAAATAATAAAGGGAGAAAAAACCCCCGCTCGTCTTGTCTAGCTCTGCGTGAACTGTTTTTTCCGGTTCATGACAGTTAGGGTATGTCGACAAATTCCCATCTCATTTTCTCCTCCAACTTCAAAATCGTCCTAAATCGCTGCAGAAGTACCGACCCAGTGTTTACAAAGTGAACATGCAAAGAAGATCAAATGATCTTTACAAAAAAACGGCAAAACTGCGATGTAGGACGATTTAGAAGTTGGAGGAGAAAATGAGTTGGGAATTTTTAGACCTACCCTAACCGTCATGAACTTCTTCCTCGGCTGGGATCATTTAGAGCCATTTGCAGCTGCATTTAAACCGCATTTTGGAAGTTCAAATTCAGGGGCACCATAGAAGTCCGTTATATGGAGAGAAATCTTGAAATGTTTTGCTCAAAAAACATAATTTCTTTACGACTGAAGAAAGAAAGACATGAACATCTTGGATGACAAGGGGGTGAGTACATTATCTGTACATTTTTGTTCTGGACGTGAACTAACGTTACTCCTTTAAAGTCGGCATGAAATCAAAATTGACTTTATTTACTTTACTGTTGTTTGGCATGTGACCCCTTTCAGCAGTGCGCTTCAAATAAACTTTATACACTGAAAATATAAGTTTTATTTATTAAATACTTAATGAATTTGCTTTACAAAATAACATTAATTCAAAACTAGCGTAACGTTACCTGACGAATCGACGACGTGTGAACTTTTGGTGATTGACTGATTGAACTGACCAATGAAATCCGGGCGGGGGCGGGGTTTGCGCTTCATTGGTTTGGAAACCACGCCTAGTAGGGCATAAGGATGCTCACTTCTTAGTGCAGTTTACCTCTTATCGCCTATCAGTGGAGTGTGTTTTCTTTATCAGAGTCCTCCTGCGGACACACATGCACACTGCAACTCAAGTGTTGGCGGATTGGATGTGTGTACAATAATAAACTTCAGGTGAGAAAGAGGATCCTAATGGTGAGAACCATTCAACTGAGCATATTCTAAAAGCTGCTGTGAATATAATATATAATATAGATGTCGTTAATCAAACTAGTGATCATAGTAATAGTTCTGTATAATATAAAGCCGTGGTTTCCGGATTCATCGTGATCTAAACAGCTCTGACAGGTTTTACTTTCGCTGAGGTTTGTCCGCCTTCAACTGTTGTTTTTGCCTCTTAAGTCGCTATTTGCTCAATAGTTTCAGGACGCTTTGTCATTTAGATATTTTGTTGTATATACATGCTATGGTTGTACTGTATCTGTTCAGAAACGTAAAAACGTGAAGTGAAAACAAAACTAGGTTCTAGTAAACGAAACGGAACTAGCTGGACAAGATGTGGATTTCTTTCCTAGTTTGCTCAACATTTTAAAACAACTATTAACAAACTTTTCACTTAATTGCATGACCACATGATAATATTTTAAGAACCTCGAAAGAGAAAGAGCTTAGCACGTTGATAAACCAATCTGCCAGCCCCATTGCTATTGATTGTGCTGAGACTGGTAGTTAGGGTTTACTATGTTTACTATGTTTTACAACTAAACATTTCAGACAAGCTTTACATGTTTCTCTCTTCCTCCAGAGCAGAAATGAGTGACCATCTCCTCAACCCACTGACCGTCATATGTGCGGGATCCTGCTTCGCCTTCTCTGGCCTGTTTTATAAACTATATTCAGATAAAAGACAAGAAGTACAGAAGCTGAAGGTACAGTAAGGACTTCCACATCACTGCTAGCAAAGAAACTGAACACTGGTTTTTAGAGCAGCCTCAAACCCACAAGTTATAACTCGTATAGTATCATCATTGTGTCTTTAATCAAGACACTGTAGATGCACAAGGTGGATATGTGGGTCATTCCATAATTTAGTGTGCATTTCATGTCCATTGATGATGATTATATATTTTTTCTAATACATTTCTTAAAAAAACATATGTGACCCTGGACCACAAAACCAGTCATAAGGGTCAATTTTTTGAAATTGTGATTTATACATCATCTGAAAGCTGAACAAATAAACTTTAGGATAGGACAATATTTGGCTGAGATACAACTATTTGAAAATCTGGAATCTGAGTGTGCAAAAAAATCTAAATATTGAGAAAATCGCCTTTAAAGTTGTCCAAATGAAGTTCTTAGCAATGCATATTACTAATCAAAAATTAAGTTTTAATATATTTACAGTAGGAAATTTACAAAATATCTTCATGGAACATGATCTTTACTTAATATCCTAATGATTTTTGGCATAAAAGAAAAATCTATAATTTTGACCTGTACAATGTTTTTTTTGGCTATTGCTAAAAACATACCCAAGCGACTTAATAAGACTGGTTTTGTGCTCCAGGGTCACATATTTTATCCAAGAGAATACAGTTTTCAGTTGTCTTTCACTTAAATGAGTTTTTGCAATATCCGCTTTGAGTCTTGAATTCAAAATAATGAATAAAAAAAGTAAAATGCCAAGATTAGAAAATAGATTGAGTTTAAATGGTCAACTAACGAAACATCCCCTGAAAACTAACAAAACCATGTGACCAGCATCATGTGATTTCATTCTCAACACATTATGGTAAACTTCCTCTTCATTTTTCTGTATTGGATCTCTAGTGACCTCTTGTTAAGGAGTATATTAATTGCCCATCAACTATGTTGGGTTCATTGTTACGGTTTGCAATATTTTCATGACTTCAGTTTAAATAAATATTACGATTTGAGGTTAACCTGATCAAGAAAATAACATTTGGTTGGCCAGACAAAACCTGCCATTGAGTCAAAATGGTGAAATTGTTAACTACGTTACCTGTAAACCCATACAGTTGACAAACTCACCAGCAGGAAAAATATCATTTTCGTTGTAAAATCAAAATGTTGTTTAATGGCAACTAGCAGATAAAATATATCAACTGAAACCAACAGATGATTTGCTGAGAAAGCAGTGTTACATGTTTTTCCTGATGTGACATGTATGCTAAAATATAGAATGACTCGTATGAAAGTTTATGTAAGTCACTTTGGATGAAAGGGACATAAATGGATTCAGCTCAATGCCAAATCAGAGCAGTTTTATAAGTGTGCACATCCAAAGAGCTGCTGTGAATTTGACCTTTCCTCCACTTTCCAGGAGATTCCAAACTTTCAAGCAGACCATCACCTGCTCAGGATTCTCAATGCGTCGTCCAACAAGAGACTTCATTATGTTGCTGTAGAAGGTAAATAAAATGCTCAATAGCACCTCGTACTTTGAAAAGTCGTAATTGATGCATCTTTATTGTCCCTCCATTGCAGGATTGGTGCAGGCCATCGGAGAGCCCATTTCCAGCCAGTTCGTTCCACGCCGTCATGGTGTCATCCAAAAGATTACTGTGCACGAGCACTGGAAGTACTGGAACTCTGCTCTGAAAACATGGTAAAAACATGCTTCACTGCAAATCATGTTGCTTGTTTAGACAATAGGATTGTAAAAACATGTCACTGAAGCATATCTTCCTTCCCAATTTATTTTTTGCATTGAAATGTAGTTTTTTTTTTTTTATGATTTTTAAAAAATATGCATGTTATGATATAATTGGAAATAATGCTGCATTTACTTTTGGCCCTCAGCCTTCAGTTAAGTTAGATTTCTAGCCTGTCATAGTAAAATGTTTGGGCACCTCTTCTCTAGAAGGTATAGTTCCTGGCATATAGTTTGTCTTCTCAAGAGTGCATGCCTACTTCTTCAGCGCTGTTGATTCCAGAAGGATTTTGCCTATTTATTTTTCTCATAGGGACTTTAAAAGTCTTTTGTTAAAACTTAATAATCCATGAACCAAACTACAAGGTGAATCACAACACTACCAACATTGATTTGAAGCAAAAAGACAGCGGTACCAGACTTTAAAAAACGGCTTTAGTGAGGGAAAGAACTACAATCCCATGAACCATTGTGAATGACAATCAAATTAAAAATGGAGAAATACAAAACTATCCATATAAAGTTGTTGATTGTATCTATAGAAACTATATATTTCTGACCCTGGAGCACAAAAGCAGTCTTAAGTCGCTGGGGTATATTTGTAGCAATAGCCAAAAATACATTGTATGGGTCAAAATTATCGACTTTTTTTTTATGCCAAAAATCATTAGGATATTAAGTAAAGATACATGTATAAATCTCAATTTCAAGAAATTGACCCTTATGACTGGTTTTGTGCTCCAGGGTCACATTTGAGAAACTATATACTGTAATTTACCAACTTGAGTACGTCATTCGCTGTGCTTCATGTGAGTGGGCGGAGCTAAAGATGTCATTTGGTGCTTGTTGCAATTCTGATTGGTGGAATTTTCTGTGCAGCATCATGGGTAATGTAGTTTTTCACCCCTAATTCGGCTATTAAACACTATTATTTAAAAAATAAGCAACAGATGTAAACAGATGGTTTCAACAAAGCATCGATTAACAACAGAGTTCACATCAGGTCTGTCTTTAAAATTTGATCAGTCATTGTTAAAAATCTATTTTCCTTTAGAGAAACTCTTCTGGAACCTGACTGTTGTGCTTTATACTCATTTTAGCGAGTATTGACCAATCAGCATCCAGCACGAGAGCTACACTAACAGTCTACACTAAGTTTTTGAACAGTTTCTGCTCACCAAGCCTGCATTTATTTGATCCAAAATACAGCAAAAGCATTAATATTGTGAAATATTTTTACAATTTAAAATATATATTTTTTTCCAGGATTCTTTGATGAATAGAAAGATCCAAAGATCAGCATTTATCTGAAATAAAAAGCTTTTGTAACATTATGCTCTATACCATTGAAAAGCTTGGAGTCAGTATAATATATGGGGGGGGGGGGTTATAGAAATGAATACTTTTATTTAGCAAGGATGCTTTAAATTGATCAAAAGTGATGATAAAGACATTTAGAATGTTACAAAAGATTTCCATTTCAGATAAATGCTGTTCTTCTGAACTTTCTATTCATCAAAGAAACCTGAAAAAATTCTACTCAGTTGTTTTCAACATAATAATGGTAATAAATGTTTTTTGAGCAGCAAATCAGCATATTAGAATGATTTCTGAAGGATCGTGTGACTGGAGTAATGATGCTAAAAAAAATAATGAATACTTTGAATAAATGACATTTGAAAATATATTCAAATAGAAAAGTTCTTTTAAATAGTAAAAATATTTCAAAATGTTACTGTGTTTTTGCTGTACTTTGGATCAAATGAATGCAGGCTTGGTGAGCAGAAGAGAAACTCTTACAGTTCAAAAAAACTATTTTGACTGGTAGTGAAAACCAGTTATTATAAAGCATGAAAAAAACATCCACACAGGGTCTCCAAAAAAGTGAACAAGCAGCAGACCACCAACACCGTGCCCTTCAGCTTGGTCCAGCCCGGCGCATACATCAGCGAGGTCTCGGTGCGCGTGGATTCTCCTCTGGAGGCGAGCGGCGATTACCTGGAGCAGGTGCACAAGCGGCTCAGACAAGCCAAAGAGGGGCTGATGGACGCAGTCGTGCGAGAGCTGAGCGGGGAGAAGCCTGTGGCCCTAGAGGAGCGAGAGGAGCTGCTGCATGTGGGATCGGCCCTCACCGCATTCGGGGAGCTGGTTCTGGAGCAGGACAAGATCATGAGGTTACAGCCGCCCAAAGACGGCCGCAGCTACGTCCTGATCCCCGGTGATTACAAGAGCTTCATACAGCGGCGCGAGAACAGCGCTAACATGTGGAAAGGCTTGACTGCGCTGTTCGGAATAACGGGGTTTGCGCTCGTAGCTGGTTTCATCCATGGTGCTGTTAATCAGGATAAAAAGAACTAGCTGACGGAGTCATGATAGTTTTTGAATAAGATAATTAACTTTGAATGCGTCATAAATCATGGGCATGAAAACAGCTATGTATAATTTTATTTTAGAGTTTTGCCAATGAAAATATTTTTCAAGCCTTGTACACTTTAAGGGATCCAAACTGTCTTTATATCTGCGTTTCATTTTTTATGAATCCAAAATAATATCAGCTCCGTTCTGCTTGACTAATTTACCAATATTAAAAGTCATTCATAACTCTTGTGTGTTCATGTCAACTTCAATCACTTTAATTCTGTTGTGCACTTTGTCATCAAGGTTCACAAAAAAAACTAAAATGGTATCTCAAAATGAATATTCCAGACATTCATAACCAAGTAACCTATATAAATCATTTATTATCAAAAGGGTCTGTATGTCATAAATTAAGATGTTTAAGATGAGTGACAGACAAAGGTTTAAAGGGTCGCAATAGGTCTTTCCCTTGCTTTACTTTTATAAGTATGGACATGTTATTTTATATTCATAGAATGTTATTTTTATTGAATCTTATTATTCCTTATCCATAAAATTCAATGTTTGTCCTTCAGAATATCATTTTTGTGTTCCGTAGGAGAAATGCATATTTTGAACATGACGGTAAATTAAAAGTGCTGTATGTAATTCTTTTGACTGTACTAAAGCATAAAATACCATAATATATTTGTAGATATTTAGGAAACGTTAAGTTCTCTGAAAACAATGCTACAGGCAGCTATTCTACTTCGAAATGTGCGTTCCATGTCAGAATGTCTGTTTTTGTTTTGGTCTGTGACTCCGCCCACTGCCAGTTTAACCAATAGTATTTGACACCTAGGGTTGCCAGTTGTAGCCATGGAAGCCTGCAAACAAACTGACTCCGAGATTGCAGATTCTATCCAACATAAAAAGCCTCTGCATCCATTTAATAAGCTCTATGACCAGGGAAATATTAAAAAACAAATAAATCAACTCATCTACAGTGTAAGACTCATCGCCTTCCATTGTCAATTGCGCTCGTTCCTATAGTTCTCAATCTGGTAACCCACGTGAGCGTCATCTGAATTTGGACTGCTGCAGTACCCATTCCAACCACTAGCTTTCAATTTAAATACAGCACCCTTTAAGTAAATTTTCATTTTTGGTTTGAACAATTGAAGCATTACAACCATACAGAAATCAACAAAGAAAAAAAACTGAATAAATATCCATTTCCACACCTTATATAGGTTGCCATTTGTCAGGAATTAAACATTCCACAAACACACCAAGATGTGTTTTGTTTCTGGTTTGTAAAGTGTATAAATGACCGTCCAAAGTGTGCGAGTCACAAACATGTTGGTTTATGTTCATTCGTCTCCTTCTGGAGACTCCTCAGCCTCCTCTAGCCATTGGATGAACTTCAAGAGCTGTAGAAAGACAAGACATAACCACATAGTTAACATAGTCCTCTTTCACCCAGATTTCAGTCCATTCCCAGAAAACTTGTTCTGGTAACTCCTCTGCCGTTGTGTGATTTTGACGAGTCACGCTGCTTTCACAACTTTCCCATGTTCTGTGCTTTCATCAACACACATCACTGACAGCCCCGTAAAGACAGCTTGTAATTTGACAGCAATGATCAGAATTAAAAATCTAGTGTAAAAGTTAAAAGAATCGCACCCCTTGATTCCTGCGGAGCTGTTGGCTCTTGTCTGTGGTGGAGCTCTGTCTGAACCAGCTCATGATGCCTTCCTCCTCCAAGATCTCCAGCTGGTACATACTCATCAGCACCTGAAGTGCACACACATCACGTACAATCAGCAAGGGAACGTGTGCTATGGTTCACTGCAGAAAAAGAGACGGCTCACTTTGACCAAAGCTGCCCAATGAGTTTCACGTTCAAGGAAAACCTCCTCCATGGAAGCAAGACAGTCCAGTTGGTCTTGAGGTCTCTTCACATAGTTCTTGAAGACTGGCGCCCACTTCTTCAACAACTGTGAGGAAAAATACAGGGACTGTTATCAGTATCTTCTGCTGTAGTCAAATACTCAAGTCTGCTTTATTTCTATAGCGCTTTTATATAATACAGACTGTCAAAGCAGCTTCAAATAGCAGCATCAGTTATCCACCTAATTTTTCCCGTAAATGTGTAAATTAGTCAATTAAAAAAAAAACTGCACATTTTAGATGTACTGTACAAATTCTCTGAAACGCCTTTGGAGACGGCTTATGGTAGAGAAATGAACATTCAATAACGAACATTCAATGAACATTCAATAATCATGCCGTCTAATCAGCATCTTGATATGCCACACCTGTGAGGTGGATGGATTATCTCGGCAAAGGAGAAGTGCTCACTAACACAGATTTAGACCGATTTGTGAACAATATTTGAGAGAAATAGGCCTTTTGTGTACATAGAAAAAGTCTTAGATCTTTGAGTTCAGCTCATGAAAAATGGGGGCAAAAACAAGTGTTGCGTTTATAATTTTGTTCAGTGTATTATCCTAATTATGAACACACTGGTTTGTAGTGCAAACAGTTTTATGTTCGCTGCACTTTGTTATTGTTCACATTATTTCCCTACAGCGGCTAATGAACCGCAAGTCTCACACATTGACAGAAAAAAGGCCTACTTCCTCAGAGAAAAATAAGGTGGAGGGAATCTCTACTATGAAGGCAGTTCAGATTCCAAAAACAGTTCAAATACTGAAAACTAAATGTACAGGTGAAGCATCTGACTTAAGGCGGGCGTACACGGTGCGATTCTGAAGGTCGGAACGTCGTGAGCTCTGGCACATGTCACGATTGAGTTTATCCGAAAATCGTACAGAGGCAGTCCCACACGACACGAATTTACTACGATTTTACCAACTCTGACGTAAGCATTACGTTTCGCGCCATTCATAAAAATATGGATTCTAAGGACGAAATAGTTTTCTTTGTGGCAGGCGACGAAGACAAAGGCCATGGCAAAGAGAATGGCTGAAAAGCAGAGAAAAGCATGGACTTTCTGTTCTTCATAAAGAACTCGAGGGAGTAGGCCATTTCTGAATTTCTGCTCGTTTTGCCGGAAATACAACAGGCATATTCATTCATGAAGCTGAACGGCAAATTTGGCACATTCGGAATAACAAATAAAAATAGAACTGTATAATTAAACAAATTATTATAGACTATATTGGTTTTTGTCATCTTCTGATTGGTCAACTTCAGATGGATCGCCAAATCGTCTCGTTCAACCGCACATACGCCACGAATTTAAACCGACAGCATCCGATTTTTTTTTACATGTTTGAAAATTATCGGGAGGACGGGAGGTGCTCGTAACGTCTCGGATCGGCCCGTAATTCTTCTCACACGGTACGAGCCGCTACCATGCGAACATCTGCGATTTTCTCCCGAGAGAAAAAAATCGCCTGCGAGCTCGTACGACAGCAAAAATCGCACCGTGTACGCCCGCCTTAAGAATGATACATATCCAGAAATTCAAGTTTTCTGTTAGTATGATGGATTTCTGATGGAGTTCACTGATTGAAATCATTGCAGATCAGGCTTAGGGCAAAAAAGGCCACCAAAATGAACAAAAATGCCCCCAAATTCAAGATAAAGTGGCAAAAATGCCTCTGTACAACGAAACTAAATTGAATATGACGGTCACAATTAAAGTGAGTAATGAAAATGATGGTGGCATTACATTTAGATCTGCTCATGCTGCAAAGATTTATTTTTTACACAGCATTGAGCATCACAACCAATCACACATGCTTCTGTTGCACGTATGAATGCAATTATTACAATATCAAGAGCCAATGATAATGGCTGAAATGATTATCAGAAGACTTTTGCACAAGAATGGCACTTTTTATTCTTTAAGTGTTAAAGGGATAGTTCACCCAAAATGAAAATTGTCATCATTTATTCACCCTCAAGCTGTTCCAAACCTGTATGAGTTTCTTTCTTCTGTTGAGCACAAAAGAAGATATTCTGGAAAACGTTGGTAACCAAACGCTGGTCCCCATTGACTTCCATGGAAGGGAAAATGAAACTTATAGAAGTCAATAGGGACCAGCAACTGTTTGGATATCAGCATTCTTCAATATACCTTATTTTATGTTCATAAAATACAATCCTGAAAAAAGTTGGGAGATGTTTTGCTTTAACCCTGGACATGTCAAGCAGTCACACTCACAGGCAGCAGGTGCGATGAATACTGAGCTGTGCTTTTCTGAGCCCCCTGCTGGTGGAAAGGAAACTCAAGCAAAACTCGAATCAAGATCTGCATAACCTCCTTCAGAGAAATGTTGTAGGCGTACCTGAGAAGAGACAATGACATTTACCTTATCATACAAGTAGTATGACTTTTGTGTAGCCATAAACATTTTGTGTGAGGAACAGATAGAAAAAAGCCTCCATTTACTTAAAGTCTTCAAACTCTCAAATCTCATTCTTAATTTTTCAGAATCAAATCAGGACACTGACACGTAGCAAAAGCAATGTCATTTGGCCGCGCCACAAGGATATGTTTTCTACGCTTTGATTTGAACGAAAACAGCGTATCCTTGTGGCGCGGCTGACACAGAACAACATACGCTATTTGCGTCCAGCTGATACTCTCCAAAATGGCGCTACGTTGACGAATTGTTGAATAAAGTCGTTATTTTTGTTTTCTTCACGTACAAAAAGTATTCTCGTCGCTTCATAACGCTACGGTTGAACCACTGATGGCAGATGGACTATTCTGACGATGCTTTTCAGACTTTTCTGGACCTTGACAGTGTAATTTACTTGGCAGTCAATGGGACAGTCACAAGCCTCCCGGTTTTCATCCAAAATATCTTAAATTGTGTTCCGAAGACGAACAAAGCTTTTACGGGTTTGGAACGACATGGGGATAAGTGATTAATGACAAAATTTTCATTTTGGGGTGGAGTATCCCTTTCAATGGGACAGTCCCAAGCCTCCCGGTTTTCTTACAAAATATCTTAAATTGTGTTCCGAAGACGAACGAAGCTTTTATGGGTTTGGAACGACATGGGGGTAAGTGATTAATGACAATTTTCATTTTGGGGTGGAGTATCCCTTTAATGTCACATTCTCCATTAAAAACCTTCAAAATGATGTATGCTTTATTGGAATAGGACGAAAAATGACCGAGCTACACCCGTTAGAAGTCGACAGAGTCAGCAAACTCAATTCTGAGAAAAATCGAGTTTAAGTTTTCTGAAGGTTCCAGAGCAAAATCACCAAGCAACATTGCATCTTTTCCTCCAAATACAAATCTTTGTTAAGAACATATGAAAAAAGCAGTGGAACAAATAAGAAAGAAACAAATAATGCATTCACTTTTTCATTTTACATCTAAACATATGCATGCAAGTAAGAAAAACAAAGAATCAAATGTCCCTTTAGTGTGTTCATTACAAATAAATTGATTATTAAAACTACAAAAGCAGTCCAATGAAGAACGAGTGATTCCTTCTTTTATTGTTTGATTAACACAGACAGACGGCCTATATATTAAGCCTTACTGTAATGCACGAATCTAATATAGTGTTACACATCAGATGTTTTCCCCAACAGTTCCCCAAACGTGCACTTAAGACATAACAGATTATGTTTGTGTGAATACTTAAATACTGTAATTATGTGTATATGTGTACATTTATCAGGATCGCACAACTGGTGAAAGTGTCATCCGAAGCGCACGCATAAAAGACAGTCAGCGCAAGAAGCGAGCGGAGAAAAGGTACTCCCCTCAGAAAACACACAAATAAAGATCATTTTAGATGTTTAATTACTATTTGGAGCATTGGGATCGCTAGACGAGGGCTTAATGAACTCATTTTTGTTAAAACCTCAAAATCGACTAAAATTGACATTTTTCACTTTTTTTTTTGCCTGTAGCTCAAAATTAGCCTGTGCGCATTCACACTCATTTTGCCAGCACAGGTCACATATATGACTTTTATACTGTTTATTTTTCGTAGCTTGACAGCTGAGGTCACTTTGAACTGTTATTGGACAAGAGCTCTGTGAACATTTTGCAAAGCATCTCATGTTATGTGTCAGAGAAAAAGCAGCATATGGATTTGCAACAAGAGGCAATTAATCTCTTAATTTTCAGGTGAACCATTCTATTAACTGGAATGTTTAAATAAATCCAAAGGTCTATCATGAATCTCTAGATGGCGCAATCCGATAGGTTCTAACTCAATTTGACATAATGACATCACATGGTGCAGCTGATTGGTTCTTTTAGTATCAGCAGCCAATGAGCTCGCTGCACAACATCCAAATACTCGGCTAGTGTTTGCTGTAGCAGCGCACTTCAAAAACCCTCCACCTCCCCCAGCTCCACCTGTATAGATCTGCTATGGAGTGATTTCATGTATGTTATATATGGGGGTTATTTCACATATGTTATATGTGCAGCAGCAGTATTTCTTACATGCTCAGAGCAGTATGTTGTGGATGTATTGGCAGTAGCAAGTCTTGGTACTTGCTCTGCAGCAGCAGCAGTGTAGCAGATCTATTCCGCCAAGACCAAACACATTAACACTGCCACATACATTACCATGCTAAACCCTCAGAGAGTTGTCATGACAGAACTGGAACTGTGTATGTACTTACTTGAGCGAGTTGATCTCAAGTACCAGATTGTCACAGCTTATGTTCTCATCCAGCCCTCTCTGTAACGTACCATGAACCTCATTCTGAAACACTGAGGGGAAAGAACAGTTAGTATGAAACTGGGAGATCTGAGTGATGTTAGAAAGGATGAATAGAGCTCTGATAAATATTTATGTAAGATATATGGTTGCAACTCTTTTACACTTCTCACCTTTGACATCATCCAGTTCAGGTGATGCAGGGTGGCTTCCCAGGTCATGTGACCCCTCACTGACCTCACTTTCACTGTCACTCTCTGGGTCGGGATTCAACGCTAGGCCTGGAAACATGATATCATCATCAATGCTTGTTTATTTAACTTCATCTCATTAAAAAAACCTGTATACACCTGTCCCATTCCCAGGTCAGTTTTGATCCGGTGAAACTTGAGCGTATAGACCTTATGTAGCCCCGCCCCTTCTCAGCGCTGCGCTCGTTGTCTTCTGTTTTCCTTTTGTAGTTCACGAATTTATGAATGAACCGCTCGTTTTACAATCTTCCCGGTCTACTGACATTTATGACATCCGCCTCGAACATTACATTGCTCATGATAACTGTCGTTAACTTCAAAATATGTAAATCCACTTCTTCACCAGCTAATTACTGAGATTTTTTTTTTTTTTCTGGAAACATGATATCATCATCAATGCTTGTTTATTTAACTTCATCTCATTAAAAAAACCTGTATACACCTGTCCCATTCCCAGGTCAGTTTTGATCCGGTGAAACTTGAGCGTATAGACCTTATGTAGCCCCGCCCCTTTTCAGCGCTGCGCTCGTTGTCTTCTGTTTTCCTTTTGTAGTTCACGAATTTATCAATGAACCGCTCGTTTTACAATCTTCCCGGTCTACTGACATTTATGACATCCGCCTCGAACATTACATTGCTCATGATAACTGTCGTTAACTTCAAAATATGTAAATCCACTTCTTCACCAGCTAATTACTGAGATTTTTTTTTTTTTTTCAGTATTCATGAAACACTTTATTTCAATGACTTATGAAATTTCTAAGAACATATAAACTGATAATTATCTGTATTAACTCAAAAACATAAAAACAATATAATAAATTCATCAAAACAAAACATATTCATTTTACTTGCATAAACTATCACTTTCAGCCTGAACCTGCAATGTTTCATCAATAGGTGCAAGCAGAATGAAATGTGGACCCCTTTGGGCTGTAGTTCATTCGTACATATTACATCTTTTGTCTGTTTATAGTGTCTTTGTGCATGCACAGTCAAATTTACAAGAAATTAAATCATACAATTGCATGTGTATAAATGTATTTTACATAACTAAAATGAGACCAATTTAACTGATAGATGTAAAACAACAACAACAACAACAAAATCTGCATAACTTCACATGTAAAGCCACAGTTCACTTCCAGGTCAAAACTGACCTGAATGCAAAAGGTGTAACAATTTAAATGGTTATATCTCCTAAAAACGTATTTTAAAAAATCTAAATAAATAAACAAATGATGTGTATTTTTTGATAGCCTTAATTCTTATGCAAAGTTTTTTCCCGTACTAAAAACCATGGATTTATTTATTTATTTTTTGACATTTATATGCAGCATTCTGGGTCAAAACTACAACAGGAGGGTTAAATTCATTATGTCGTCTGACACTTTCCAAAGACTTCTGAAGTCACTAAATAGCTTTGTGTGAGGAACTGACTGAACTTTAAGTCGCTATGTTAACTGCATTTATAGTATAGAGTCAGTTTAAATCAATTGGTTGCGAGTTGTGAACAAATTTATAGATCAGACCAGTATAGCAACTCTTTAAAATCCTTTGTGAAGAAAAAAGTGCTCCAAGTTTGGAACAAGGGTGAATAAATGAGGACAATATTTTGAGTATAACTTGAATCGAAGACATCTCACCCCAAATGCATTCAGCAAGCTCATCTTCCTCTGTGTCATCAAGACTGCTGGTCTTCCATCTGTATCCTTTACCCTCTGAACCAACCTCTGCTGGGTTAAACACTGACAAAACGATAAAAAAAAACTAAAATGACACTTTGCCCATGCATGTGAATGACATCCAAAATGTTCAGTTTTTAGAGGAGGTAATGTTCATCGTCATCTTTTTTCTATCAGGAATATAAGATCAATTTATTTTAATGCATGCTTGTTACACAAGTACGTACTAAGTAATGTTAAGTTACATGTACTTACTATAGATTTAGTATTACTTGCTTGTAATTATCCATACTTTACTGCTACTACTTTATATATCATGTGACAAGGACACATTTAAATAGTGTTTCAGATTTTCAACCCACAAATTACGATCAAGTCAGTGACCATCAGCATTTAAATCAATGTCAGTGTGAACGGCACAATCACAGAGCATTGTACAGAATGTGTACTTCGTTATGTCCACATAAGAAAATAAGATGAGCATGAACCTTTCTGTTTGGTTTTGTCTTTACTGTGGCCAACATCGTCATCGCTCAAGAACTCATCCTCATCTTCATCATCCTCTTCATCTGGATGGTGCATGGACAGAACTGTGCCTTCCTGAAGAGTAATATCTGGACCCACCACAACCTGCAGATCAACATTTCTTTAGAAAACAAGGAAACTAGCCAGCGATTTGGACACACAGTGAAGAATATTTAATGTAAAATAAACTTGTGTCTCATTAAGCCTCTATTTTGATCATCAACAATTTAGGGACTAAATAATCATTTAAATAAGTCTGGACACCTTTAAGTTTATTTAGCTTTCCTATATTTAATATATACATTTTAAAATATATTGTATATTTAGTTTATATATTATATAAAATATAGAATCACATTTGTTTTAAATTCTGAATAGACAACAAATCAAAGTAATTTACTAGAGGTTCTGAGAAAATGTTAATTGCTTTTTATAAAATTGTTTGAATCAGTGTTTTTGAACATATATTGTATATTTAGTTTATATATTATATAAAATATAGAATCCTATTTTTTTAAAATTCTGAATAGACAACAAATCAAAGTAATTTACTAGAGGTTCTGAGAAAATGTTAATTGCTTTTTATAAAATTGGTTTGAGTGAAAGATTCAGTGACTCACTCATAAAAGACTTCACTTGCTTCATCAGTGGATGAATCAGTGTTTTTGAACAAATCTCTTAAAAGAATGATTGAAATACATTTTTTTAACAGTCACTCGTAATTGATGTGATCTTTATCTGAAGCGTCAAGTTACTTTGATTTGATTTTAACTGTTCTTGTCTATAATTTGAGGCTGTGCTGTGGCGTCTTACGTTGTAGGCGTTTTTTTGAATGAATCTCTTGAATGAATGATTCAATGACTCACTCATTGACTTCACTTGCTTCATTACTGGATGAATCAGTTTTTTTTTTTTGAATGAATCTCTTGAATTAATGATTCAACGACTCACTCATTGACTTCACTTGTTTCATTACTGGATGAATCAGTTTTTTTGAATGAATCTCTTGAATGAATGATTCAGTGACTCACTCATTGACTTTACTTGCTTCATTACTGGATGAATCAGTGTTTTTTTTTTTAATGAATCTCTTGAATGAATGATTCAATGACTCACTCATTGACTTCACTTGCTTCATTACTGTTTGAATCAGTGTTTTTGAACATATATTGTATATTTAGTTTATATATTATATAAAATATAGAATCCTATTTTTCTACAATTTGAGTGAAAGATTCAGTGACTCACTCATAAAAGACTTCACTTGCTTCACTTGCTTCAGAATCAGTGTTTTTGAACAAATCTCTTAAAAGAATGATTGAAATACATTTTTTTAACAGTTTTAACAGTCTAACAGTCACTCGTAATTGATGTGATCTTTATCTGAAGCGTCAAGTTACTTTGATTTGATTTTAACTGTTCTTGTCTATAATTTGAGGCTGTGCTGTGGCGTCTTACGTTGTAGGCGAGCACACACTGCTCATTCAAAACGACTCTGTGTTTCACCTCCACATTATCACAGATAACCGACTGCTTGACCTTCACATCATTGGCTATGTGGACTCTGTTCCATATGTAAGCTCTATCCAGAGTAACACTGTCTCCTAAGTAGACAAAACAGCAGTTAGCAGGATGAGCAGGATGTAGATTTTAACACTGTTACATGGTATTTTACACATAAAAAATGATAACTGAACTGAGTTTTCTGAGTTTTAGATTGTGTGATTACACAAAAAATATACGAGAGTAGGCCTGGGCAAAATGGCTAAAAACATAATTTTTCGCCTTTATTTTAACACAATATCGATAATAATCATGACATTCATTTACCATAATGGAGAAGGAAATGCTTTCCATGTTTGTTAGACTTTGAGAATGGATGTAAACAATACAAAAACATTGTTTGTTCACAAATAAACTCCACAGAGTAGCTACCTTTTAATTTAGGGCCCCATGAAATCCATTGTGAATTAATAAAACTTTAAACAGTTTAATCAATCTTTTAAAAAAAATTTATCAAATGAAATTTAATTTACAACCAAACATTGAATTTTTATTTTTTTGTCAATTAAGATGCTACACAACTGTATAAATTAATGGGGGAAAAAACTTGGTTGTATGATATTTCTTAAAAAAATATAATATTATTATTATTACTTTGAGAATTACGTTTTAGTAGACAGTAGTATTATATTTCTGTCATAATTTCTTCAAGTTAAAACAAACTTTTATTTTTGACGGATTGTTCTCATATATTGACAGGCAGACAAAGAAAACACTGTGAAATCGTGGCATAGACGAAACCATGCCATTCATACATAGACATGCAGACATATTTGCCACATTCACTGACTGGCTGTTGTCACATTTATTTCTGCTGTGTGATCTGTTATTAAATTAATCCATAGTGTGCGGGCACCACGTTGATACCACTGGTCTAGGCCCAGGGATGCTAACTTCCGGAAGGAAGGAAAAAGGAAAATCCAGTTCCTGATAAAGGGATTAAATGTACTGATGAAATTTAATTCCTTTCTACCTGACAAGGGGAAAACAAAGGCAGAGGACAGAATGCTGTCCGAGCGACGAATCCTGTGCTGCTGCTGCGCTAGAAGAATCTGCGAGGGTTCATCACACTGCGTGTGATAAGTGATGGTGATAGCAGAGAGTAAAGAGATTCGATCAGTCAGTAAATCAGTTAGTATTATCAAAAACAATAAAGCAGTATTTTTCCTCAAACCTGAGTTGAGGTGCTGATTATAATGGTTGTTTTCCAAGAGGTGTCGTATCGCTTGCCATTTCCAGTTACGTTAGTTGGCCTGATATTCGGTTGTGGCGCTAGTTCCAGACAGCCCGTCAGCTGACGCCGGTGAGCGGGCGGGCACAAACAGGGACATACAAAAACATTTCTGAAATTCAACTTTTTACTCAAATTGTTATGCTCATAATATAATTTATATATATATATATATAAAATTTAGATATATA